CTGGCACCGGCGGTTACTGCGGAGACGCTTTGTTTGCTAACTTCCAAGGCGGCTTTCGGAGCGCGCCTCGGGCCGGCTCCCCCTTCCCGGTGCTGCCGCTTGGCCACGCGGTGGCTCTCAGGACGTGCACAGAGATAGCTCTGCTTTCCTCTCTGCAAAACTTGGCTGAGGAATGCGATTCTCAGGCGACGGAGGTGGAAACCGAGTTTGCAGCTTGAAAACAAACTTCACAGGGCCAGGGGGCGGGGTGGAGAGAGGTAAAAGCCTCTTTCAGAGCGGCGGGAGGCGAAAGCGCAGGCTTAAACTCGCCTTGGCTGCACCGGGCCCTCGCTTACCTTGTGCCCGAGCAGAGCCGGCAGGGCACCGCGGAGAGCAGCACCGGCGAGTTTTGTGGTGCAGGGGGAGCCCCAGAGACCCCGGGTGGAAGCCACCCCACCCTCCCCCACGGCCAGTGCCACACTGCGGGGACCTTCTGGGAAGAAGGTGCCTGGGATCTTCGAAACTCGACCTCGAAAAGCTCCCGGTAGCTGCCAAAGACTTGGGATCTGTTTATTGCTTTTCTTAGGGTGGAAAAACAAGCTTCAGTTCTGGTTCTGTCTGACCCTTAACGTCTCAGGGCCTCTCCTTAAAACAGATTCAAGGTCTTTTAAGTTTTGTGGTTTTTTACCCCCCATTGTTTTGTACGGAAAGTTGTATGGAGACACACGTTTGCTACCTGTTATTTGCCCGATTCAGATGAATGTGAACGGAATTGATTGCGGGGGGCTTGCTGATAAATGTTTTTTACCGTTGTATCTCTCTCGCATAGGTGTCTTATCTCCTGCAGCCGCCTCAAGGCCAGGCAAAGAAACAGTTGTTAGAGACTTTTCACAGGAACTTGGAAAAAGTGCACCAAATAAATGTAATTACTGTTTGTTTCTGCTACCGGGCCCGGCCAGTGGTGGGAAACCGTATTTATTTTGCTCATCTTCTCCACAGTGGAAAGGCATGAATTCCAGCATTACCGGCCGGAGGTGGAGTAACAGTGCCACACAGTCTGTTGCTGGGTGCTTTTGCCTCGAGCGTCTGGGAGGGCAGCTCCTTCTATAAAATGCGCCGCGGCTGGGCGCTGGACATGGGACAGAGTCTGTCAAATAAGTAAGCAAAATAATGGGTGGCAGAGGCTGGCCCTTGTCCTTTCAAGGATCTGGGTTTGGGCCGGGCATCTGTGGTGACACCAGCTTCACCACAGGGACTAATTCTTGTCCCGTCCCCTGGGCCGAACCAGAACTGGTGGCACTTGCTTGCTTTCCGCTCACTTTGCTGTGATCTGCTTTTTCCTCCTGCCCTTCCATCTCCCCAGAGGTTCTCCCGTTGCTCACCTGTGCGTGCGTTGGAATCCTGGGGTCAGGGCAAAAGGATAGAATAAAACCAGGCCAACCCAAAGCAAACAAAAACATGAATTCACTGAACTCAGCCTTTACCTCCTTTATATCTGCACTGTGCTTTACGGTTTGTGAGAGTTATTTAAACGCTCTCATTCCATGCCTATACCGGGCATGTTTTTGTTTGTTTTCAGATTTAAATAGCACAATCATATAACAGAGCTAAAAGGTAAAAGCAAGGAGTCGGGCATGGTATCGCACACCTGTAATCCCAGCACTCAGGAGGCAGAGGCAGGAGGATGCTGTGAGTTCAGGACCAGCCTGGACTACACAGTCAGTTCCAGGGCAGTCTCAACTACATAGTGAGACCCTGCCTCAAAAATAAATAAATAAATAAATAAATAAAAGCCAGGTATGGTGCACGTGGCCCTGGAGTGGTCGCTAGCAGCGCTGTGTTGGACAGTCAGGTGGGTGGCAAGGTAGACACTGGTTTAGACTATGCCAGGACACCAGGACGTCCTGGATACCAAGGGGGCTGCACCGCGAAAACTACCTCTCCTTTCCAGGGAGCCTGTCTTCCTACCTCCTCTTTCCTTCTTTGATCTCTGTTTGGAGAAGAGGGGTGAAGCCAGGGCCTGGCACGGCCTAGGCACACATCCTCCACCACTGAGCTCAGCCCAGACTCTCTCCTCGCTAAATCAAAAGGAGAAAAAGATCGCTCTCCAGACTTCAAGCAAGAACGGAGACGTCACATTGAGGGAGACAGAAAAGACCCAGCCGTCCCTCCGCGTGCTATGGGCCTCTGTGATCCCTTTTCCCTCCCGTGATGCTCCCGGTCCCCGGTCTGGGCTGCCCCGTCTTCACCTGGTCGGTGTCTAGCAACTTCTTACTAGGCAGGGCTTGGCCTAGATGTCACCACCTCTGACTGCCTGACCTAAAGCAGGCGCCCCCACTGCCGCCATCCAGACATTTTGCTTTTTTTAATTTTTAATTTTATGGGTACACTTTAGGTTTACATAATGATCGCATTCATAGGGAATTCGTACCTTTACATGATGGAACTGGATTCCTCTTTTTTCCCCATTCCCCTCTCCCTCACTTAGAAAAGCCCCATTTCCATTATTTCCTTCTATTCTCACTTTTTAATTTCTCCTTCCTTTCTCCTTCACCCTCTCTCTAGTTGCCCTTTCTTATCGAATGACTTTTTTCTTATTTCACATTGTCTGTTATGCCTTTTGGTCCCATTTACATTTTCAATTCTTACACCAAAGAGACGATGCGATATTTATGCATCTGTTGGATTTATTTCACTTCAGAGTATAGCTTCAAGCCACATCCGTTTAGCTATAAATGTGTCGTTTATCCTTCTTTACGACTGAGTAGTATTCCACTGTAGAGAAAAAACACATCTTTATCCATTTATAGGTTGATGGGCTTTTGGGGTGTTTCCAAGAAATTAGCTATTACAGACTGTGCCACTTTTGCAGTTCTGGGGATCCCTCGCCCATACATGCTGAGCAAGCTCTGCAGCCCTCAGCTGCTACCCCCGCATCATGCCTCTCGCCCATCCCGCCTTACTCTTATGGGGTTGAAGTCTGGGCGCCTTACCTGATTTTCCCTGCTGAGACCACACCCCACCCCGCCCCAGGCCAGTGATCTAAATAATGCAGGCCAGTGATCTAAATAATGATATTTTGAAATTTGCATCCGCTAGTATTTAACATTTAGCGATGCGCAGGACTTACTTCCAGGTTGTAGTTGGTGAGCTGTGCAACCGACAGAAAATGAACAGCGGCCAAGTGAAAGGGGCGGTGCTGATTGTGCAGGGGACCCACTGACCCGAGCAGGGTCTCGCGAGATCGTTCAGGACCTCAGCTAGCATGTTTGTCTCTAAGAGATGGAACAGCTGGGCCAAAGGTACCCACTCGCTTTCAGAAATTCGATGGACACTTCCTAATCACCTCCTGTTAGGGTTCGAATACGAAGTGTCCCCCAAAGCCATGACCTCGCTAGCTGGGGTGGAGCACGCCTGAAACCCCAGCACTCGGGAGGCTGAGGCAGGAGGATCACCATGAGTTGAAAGCCAGCATGGGATATATACTTTAAAGCCAGTTTGAACTACGCGGGGCGGGGCAGGGCAATGCATCTTTAATGGATCAGTCCAGCATCACTCATAGCCTAATGGCCGGTTAGGAGGCGCCTGGTTGGAGGAAGTAGATCACTGGGGCGTGTTCCTGAAGGAGTGACCTGGTCAGGGCCCCTCCCCTCCTCTCCGCCCCTGGTTTAGGTTGAGGAGGGATAAATTGCTTCCCGCCACACCTACCTGCCCAGGGCTTCTGCCCTCAGCCTCAATGTGATGTCGGAGCCGTTCCATCCTCTGAAACAAAGCCAGTCTGCTTTTATTTAAGTGTTTATGTCAGATGCTCTGTCACAACAATGACAAGTGTCACAGCCTCCCGATGACCTACTTAGAACTCCAAGAAAGGTGTTAGAAGATGTGCCGGCCTGCATCCGGTTGGCCCACTTCCTCTTGGTCCATCCGGAGGTGAACGAATGGTAATGAAAGTTGTACCTATGTAGGGGAGCCGGTGGGGGGAGGTTGGAGCCAAGGAGCACCACACCCAACACTTTGAATATGATTTTTTTTTTTGAGACAGTGTCACGAAGTCGTCCAAGTTCAAACCTGCAATCCTCTTGCCTCAGCTTCCCAAGTGGCTAGAACGATAGGCGTACCCTGCTATGCCTGGAGGCCATCTTGATTTTTCAGATTTGCATTTGAGAAACTAAGCCCGTCTTGTGTACGTATTGGACATTTTTTTTTCTTCTTGCGCATTCATAACTTTTGCCAAACTTTCTATTGGTATTCGTTGTACCTCCCTAATGTTCTTTTTAAAGAAAGAGCTAGACTGCTTTTGTAATTTAAAAGCTCAACTAGCTGGGGGTAAGCTGAGGCAGGAGGATCTCAGTGAGTTTGAGGCCAACCTCAAATGGGCTGCACATTGAGTTCAAGGCCAGCCTCACCTACACAGCAAGACCCTGTCTCATTAGAAGCAAACGACCATCAAAAAGGCCAGAACTAATAGGGTTATGAATGCAGAGAAGCAAAGTGTCTTAGTTTTCAAAAAGTATGATTTGCACCAAGTCCTGTATCTATGCAGTGAAAGCAAGGTCTTCAGGGCCCTCACCCAGCCTGCTTCCTTCTCTCACTTTGCCAAGAAGGGTTATCCCGTTACCACCATCACTTCTGCCCAAAGCCAAAGAGCAGGAGCCATTTATACAAGAACACAGTGATGAAATACCTAGGACCCAAATCAACCAGAAATGCTTGTGAGTTTTACAGAGAAAACTAGAACGCTATGGAGGGACATAAAAGAAGACTTTCAGAAAACAACAGGCAAGTGTGCCTTTAAACTCAAAGCAGTTTCGCTTGACATACTCACAGTTGGTTGTTTTTTCTGTTGTTGTTGTCTTTTTAACTGACAGGTCCAGGTAATGAAACTTCTCACAGTAGCCGAGGAGGTTCTGAAAGGGAAGAGCTGGGGAGGGGCAGGGCTTGTGCTTCCCCTGGAGCTCAGGGCTTCTTTTTGGTTTGTTTGTTTTTTTGAGACAGGGTCTTGCTGTGCAGCCCAGGCTGGCCTGGAACTCACAGCGATCCTCCTGACTCAGCCTGAGTGCCTGAGTATTGGGATTACAGGCAGGTAAGTGCATTTTAAAGTTTATGATTTTACTGGAGAACAAATAAACAGCAAGCAAAGGACAATGGGGCAGATTACAATATACACAGTCTTAGATTTTGGTGAAAGTGGCTTTTCACATCAGGAATGAACTGATAGGACCCATCCTTGGATTTAGTTAATTACCCCTAATTTTAGTGAAAAATAAAGCCAGGCCAAGGTCACAGTGATTCGGCCTATAGTCCCTGCTAACCAGGAGGCTGAGGCAGAAACCTCCAAATTTGAGGACAGCCTGGCCAACATAGGGAGACCCTGTCTAAACATTAAATAAATAAACCAGGCTGAGGATTTGGCTTAGTGGTTCTGCCGCCTGCCTTGCAACTGTAAGGTCCCGAGTTCAATCCCGGGTACCAAAAAATAAATAAATAAATGAAAAATAAGAACAAACAAAGCCGTATAGTGATATGTGACTATAAATCTCAGCAATGTGGAGGGCTGAGGCCGGAATATCCCAGGTTCCAACCAGGCCTGGACCAATTTAGAGAGTTAGCAAGATCCTGTGTGAAATAAACCAACAATAAATCAAAAGGGGTGGGGATGTAGCTCAATGTAAAGGCCCTGAGTTTAATCCTCAGCACTGAAAAAAAAAAAAAAAATAGCAGGATCTCCATCTTACTCCTTTAATAAAATACGGTTAATCTATTTTTTTTTTTTTTTTGAGACAAGGTCTCACTATGTAGTTGAGACTGACATGGAACTCACTATGCTGCTCTTGAACTTGCAGCAATCCTCCTGCCTCAGCCTCTGGAGTGCTGGGATTACAGGCGTGCACTGCCAAACAGGGCTGGTTAATCTAAATTTTAAAACAAAATGCAAAAGCAGTTTAAATCAGAGTTATTCAAGGCCCGTCGTATGGCAGTTTTACCTGCAGGGTGACGGCTGACAATTTCTGAACATGTTTTCGTTGGTCCCAGCAGGAAGGGGGAGAAACTACTACAACGAGTAGTAGGCTCAGGCTCCTCCCCCAGCCAAACCCTTTCCTGGGCAGAGGTTGGCAGAGTCGGGGGTGTGGAACTAGGTTCTAACTGGCAGCTCCTGTAAACAGGTGATCTTAGACAGAGAAGGTTTCAAGTCGGAACTCAAAATCAAGAGATAGTCATCATTTCAAAAAATTTATGTGAGACTCAAAGACAATTCTCTAAAACTTTCAAAGCAATGGAACTGGGAAAAATAGCTGTGGCATATGTCAGGCCTAGGTCCAGCTGAGTTAGGAAGAATCCTGCTTTTTAACAAGTTGAACATTTTCTTTATCCACTCATCTGTGGATGGACAAAGGGGCTGATTCCAAGATTTAGCCTTTCATGAGTTGTGCCGCTATAAGCAGGGTGTGCATGGGTCACTGTAAAACGTGGTATTCACACATGCACGATGGAGTGCTACTCTGTCATAAAGAAGGGAAAACTTGAATTGTTTGTAGGAAAATGTTTGTGCCTTGAGACCAGAATGTCACATGAAATAAGTCATGCTTAAATGTTACACGGTTTCTCTTACGTGAGAAACCAGAGTATAAATAAATTAAAGAATAAAATAAAAAGATAGATAATAGGAACAAGGAGGTGAATCCTTTCCAACAGGTAAGGGACAGGGAGATCGAGGGAGGAGATGGAGACAGAATTAAGGTGTGTTCTCTTCATACACAGACTCCCTGAGATGATTGCAGTCATTATGTACTGCAAACGTGAACTAATAAAAATAACTACAATAAAGAAAAAGTTGGATAGGGCCGGGGATTTAGCTGAGTGGTTCCGGTGCCTGCCTCACAAGCACAAGGGCCTGAGCTTGGTACCAAAAAAAAAAAAACAAAAAACAAAAAAAGAAAAGAAAAAGAAAAAGTTGGACAAAACCGAACATGATGGTACAAACTGTTACCCCGGCCCTGGGGAGGCTGAGTGAGGACGGCAAGTTTCAGGCCACCTGGGCTACAACATGAGGTCCAGTGTCCACAAAATTTAAAATCAAAGCCTGGTACAGACCTCTGTAGCGAACTTTTTTGGTAAAATCTTTACATGCCTGTATGCTTTTGGAGTGATGGGAAAATAGTAACAAGGGCTGGGGAGCACTAAAGGGCACAAGGACAGGTCCCCGCCCTAGGCTGGCAGGCGGGAACAGGGCTCCTCCATCATTTGTACCCCGAAGAAACCGCCCAAGAGTCTAGGGGTGTCATTTTCATGAAAATCCCCAATTACTGGACATCAAAATTTGGTTCTTCTTTGTGTTAGATTTGTGTCCTAAAGAAAAATCTGAGCAGGGATCTAAAATGGGACACAACTGTGATCGAGCTCTTTCGTCTTGCTGTCTTATTTACTGTCTAGGAACCCTTCACCCGCATTCTGGGAGGCTGAGGCAGGTGGATAGCAAGTTCAAGCCCAGCCTGGGCAACTTAGCAACTCTGAGAGATCCTGTCTCAAAATAAACCATAATAAAGGGGCCGGAGATCTAGCTCAGTGGCACCGCACCTGCCTCACAAGTGTAAGGTCCCGAGTCCGATCCCCTGTACCTAAATAAATAAATAAATACTAAAGGTAAAACGTGAGAGAAGGGGCTGTGGACGGAGCTCAGGATGAAGGCCTGGGAAAAGGAGCCCCGGGCAGTTAATCATTAGCAAGTATGAATCACCCTTCCTGGGTCTGGTTGCTTTTTACCAGAAACAGAACAAAAGCTGTCAAGCCATTTATCAGGTGGCTTTGGATTTCTATGACCTCATCAGCAAAATTAGAAATGTGTATCCTGGAACAGGTGATACTTAGGATCAGCCAAGAATTACAGCGTATAAACACAGGGCCAGGGCTGCAGGTCGGCCCCCTGGGGTCAGTGAAGGTCACAAGTCAGGGCCGGAAGTGTTCCCAGCCCAGCCAGGATGTCCCCGGAGGCCGGAACAGCCCTCCCTGTCCCTGTAAAAGGAAGGGACGCTTCCTCACTTCCCAGCCTCCGGGATAATCTTGACTTTTTATTTGTCTTTAGTCAGTTGTTTATCTTTTTTAGTGCTGGGATTGAACCCAGGGCCTCGTGCATGGTATCTAGGTGCTCTCCCAAATAGCTAGGCACCCAAGTTTGATACATCTTTATTCTTAAAAGTTGGACATGTATATCATTTTATTTTTCCAACCCATCCCCCCCCGTGGTGGTGTTGTTTTAAGGCAGTTTCACTATGGTACTTCAGGCTGGCTTCGAACACAAGATCCTCCTGCTTCAGCCTCCCAGAGTGCTGGGATTACAGGCATGTACCACCATTCCCAGCTGTTTTCCAACCCGTTTGGAAGCTAAGCAAAGCATGTGCAGCAGAGCTCTGCAGGATTCCTCCTCCAGGATGAGAGTAATTTCTAAATCGGCCCATATTTTGATTGCTCCTTTCCCATGCGGTTGGTTCACACATCTGCAGGTCCTGAATAAGTCATTTTTTAAAACTTCAAAACAGCCAGGTGACCTCAGCCACAAGGGCTGTCATTCCCAGAGTGTTTTGTTTACTTTGCATTAAAATTTGAATCCGGAGAAGGATGACACCAGACGCTAACGGGAGCTGTGGCAGGAAGGATCCCTGCTACCTCCACGGGCCAGCAGCGGCCCCTCCAGGCGCTCGTGTCCCCTACTCCTCCCCGCTCCCTTCCAGAGCATCTGGAGCAAAGCCCAGGCCTCAAACACTGCCTGGTCCTTCTCACCGCCACCCTCTGGCCCGATCAGCAGCCCCTCATGCTGGAGTCTGAATGACTCACGGGGTCCCCAGATTATCTTCTGTTGTCTTTTGCTTTCTCTCCATCCTTTCTGTCTGTGGTTAAGCATTTTCTTCTTGCCAGAAACAACAAGTGCATGTGTCTTTGGACAGTG